TTTCATCATGAGCTGACATTAGTTAGAGAACAATTGGAATGTCAGCTCATGATAAAATCCTGAAACCAATCAAATCCCTACAAACCAACACTTAAATATGCTAATTCTTCTGAGTGACATTTGCTAGAATTTGTTCTTCTCCAGTGAAAAAGCTCAGTGTCAGAATGCAAATCACAGCTGTCTCGTAACTTAATGATTTTGAACACAACACTAGGAAAGTCTTAACTGGTAACTGCCGAACATTTTCAAAATAAAAAGTAATCGGTTTTGAGTAAGGAACGATCTTAAGTAATTTTTCTTCATGGGAAAACTCACCTCCGACTTTATCCAATCCCTGGAAAGTTCTTGTTCTTGTAGTATACTGTTTAATTTAATTCGCGAAAGACTGGCCTAATTCAAGTATTGTTCTCTGAGCTGGATCAGTAATTATTTCATTCCTTTTGTATTTTATTATAGCTTGATTTCATACCATATTTTTGGTACAAGTATGGAATTTTCAGCATGCGATATCGTTAGCTCAAATTTAGCAGACCGACCATTGTTTTCAAGCGTGCGTCGGCGGGGGATCGAACTCCAGACTATATGCATGGTTGGCAAGACTCCCAACCGCTGTAACGCCGACTTACCCATAATAAAAGTAAATGTAGAATACTAGAAAGAAGAGAACACAAAATTCAGCAAAGATATCTTTTCGGCGGTTTCATTGTCAATACACCTGTAGCTCGTTGTAACCCTGTATAAATTCTAAAGCTCGTGTAATCTATATTCGCACCTCCTAACTCCCATCTCAAGCTGAAAATTATTATTTCAGTTTTTCGTTTCCATCCTCACCCATTTTTTACACACTTGTTTTCCATTCTAATCCTGTATTAATTTTGTTTCTAAGCCCCTTCTAAACCAGATCTAGTTGAAAAATATTTATCACCTTTTATTCGCCGTCTTAATTATGTATCAATGTAAAACTATGTATTTAAATGCGATTGTACAGCTTTTGAAAATGAAATCGATGAAAAGATGTCTTTGCTGAAGTTTGGTGTTCTCTTCTTTGTAATGCCTATAAGGGTTTTTTCCACGATCTTAAAATGTAGAATACAATACATCAATTCAAAGTAGGCAGTCTAGAAAGAAGTTCAGTTATTCAGTTTGCATTGTGATCCAGAGTTGGCACCAAATATATTTAATAGGAATCGCACGACACTATTCTGCTATGATGTGTAAGCTATATGAAAACGAGTAATACGTGTTGTGTAATTTGTGGTAACCTATCTGATTCTAAACAAACAAAATACACTCAAGCCCATAATCCTTTCCGGACTAAACTGTATATACTGAAAAGAAGACAAACCTATCGAATTTTGGCGAACGTTTTCAGTTGAATGTTCTACATATATGTACATAATTTAATAATTCCCATTGTAGCATTAGCAACACAATATTCAGCGATGTGACTTTGAAAAGGTTGCCCAATTTTGTCCAACATAATGTCCTTCTCCAATGTTAGTTTAGAACCTGTGCACTGAGCTTGAATTTAGCTCCATGGAAGACGAGTTTAGATCATATAAGCCACAATGGTACAAAAGTGTCAATTAATCTTTTCAAAAATGAATTTATTATCAAGCTGTACAATCGTATATAAATATCACTTGAATAAAATATATCCGGTGTGGGAATTACATCAAAAGTGTGAATGCATGAAATAATATTAATGGTATGAAATGCAATTAAAACTAAATTGTTTGTGATTATAGTAATAGTTAAATGTCAAGTAGCAAAACAATTAATGTCATATATAGAATAATTCATAGGATGGATAGACATTGGAAAGGGGTGTGTATTTATAGGATGAGTAGGCGAATATAAATGGTTGTATAATATGGTGTGAAATATGATAAGATAGAATTCAATATTGTAAAAATAAAAAGTAATAATAATTTTGGATTGAGAATGACAAGTAGAACAAGCGGAAACAATTCAGAGTGAGACTAGTAGTAATAATAATATCAATAATTATTGTGGTAATAAGGGAAAGGTATATAGAATAACTAAATAAACAAAATAAATAAACGTCTATCCCTCTACGGCCAAGGCAGAAGTAGCGATTGTACATACTTCCTTTGTACCCATAGGTCTGGCTTAAAGTCATGAATTGGCAAGGCCTCAGGTGTCTTTAGAAGTCTGTAGCGAAGAAAATGCGGTAAGTTAGCATGGATTCTGTATATGATTTTAAAATCATGGTCAGGGTTAGTAGAGTGACAAGAGTCGATCAGGTGTTCACGAATAGAGCTTCACACACATTTCCTTTCTCCCTTGTAAATCCATACTGAGATATTTTCTCGTGTCTGTGTGGAAAGTGTCCTCTGGCTACGGCCAATGTACTTTGCCACAGAAGAAAATGTAAACTGATAGATGTTCAGTGAGACGGCCAGACAGATGAGCTAATCTTTTATAATTACAAATATTTTAATTTTAATTGCATTTCATACTATTATTATTATTATTATTATTATTTCATGTATTCACACCTTTAGCTTATTCCCTCCCCGGATATAATTTCTAAAAATAAAACCATGTTTATTTATATACAGGATATATACATTAATAGTAATGGGTATGTACATACATACATATATACTGGTCATGTTTTGATAGATAAGTGGAAGGGGATCTGAGAGGTTAACATTGAGATTATAGTTGATTACATTTCAGCTATTTCCTTATATTTTTGTTAAGTGCTGTTTTGTTTTTCTCTTCCTTGCAAACTCTAGTTAAAACCTTCTTGTTGTTCTTTTACACTCTGTATATCTCGACCATTTTGCTATCGCTTACGCCAGTAAATATGCTAGTAGTATCTACTTTTGTAACACCTTCAAACATTTTAATTTTGGCTTTGCTACCGACATACTAATATGTTGTTGAGATAATCTTTAATCTATGTAGAACTTTATTTATTGTTAATGTAAAAACTGGATGCAATATTGTAGTAAAATGCTGAGAATTCCATTCTGTATCACAAGTACTGATTTGGAATAAAGCTTATATAATAATAATTAAACATGTAGCAGACAAGAAACCCGAATGTATCAGAAATTACAAGCTGAGTAGTGGTAATTTTTATTATGAAACGATTTACGATAATGGTACACAGAAGATTGAGTCAAGAATGATAATAGTAATAAGCAATAGGGTAAAGTAATAATACAAGTAGTAATAATACTTACAATAATAATGATAACACTTCGCAGGTAAAAGGTATTACAGTTTTTCATTCAGGGTGACTACCATTTCCTTTTGTATCAATATTTGGGCTTTATAAAGTCTAGTTTTACAAGCCTCCAATGTCGTAAGTAACTTTGTGTTGTTTTCTTTCATGAAAAAATCGGCATCATCGTCGGCTTCATATCGATGAAATGCTTTCCAGTTCAGTATTTTAGTATCTTGACTTTTGGCGTTTTCAACCACTTGAGTAAATTCTTCCTGATGCAGGTGAGTTGAATCATCATCTTTCTCTACGATCTCTGGATTTGCTTTCGAGAATACACATAAAATGATACTCTGAAAAATTGAGCATTAGCTACCAGTTTTCCTCATATTAACCAAGCACCTGCTCAGTAGTGTTGAGGGACACAAGCTGTGCTGCATAAAAAATACCCCACCACGTTTCGTAGAGAAGAACATGAAACCAAGACCAAAAAGAGAAGAATACGCGTCAATGCAAAAAGAGACACTATATTCGAATCTGGAATTCAGGGGAGAGCTAGTAGCAGATAGACCTAAAATGAGAATCTCCAATTCCTTGAAGAAGACTTTTCCGGCAGCATTTCTAAGAGTGATATTCTCTAGCCGTCCACTACTTCGGATCAACGGGAAGGACAGACTTTCACATATGACCACTTCAATGTGCATATATCAGTTCACCTGCTTGTGCAGAGCTAGGTACATAGATCGTTCTATGTGGGTCTTATAAAAACGTGTTAGAAAACAACATCCAGCATGGCTGTAAAGAAGAGGTACTGGTTCAATCGGAAGCGCAATAACTGAACATCTCACAGACTTGTCTTTTGCTAATGCAGACCAGCTCTAATAAACAAACGATATAATGTTCACCAGCATTGGCAAAAATGTCTACACAGCATTAAGTACTTTCAACTGGAATGATGAAGTAGCTCAAGTGAATGATTCCGGTGTACATGCATCCTGTGGGTTGGATGGTTTCGCCTAGAATTCATCGCATACTGTAGTTTGAAGTAAACTTTTGGGAGTCACCACAACTTCACTAGGCATCTCTCCTGGCGATTTTGAATGTAATTATCTGTTTGCGGAGGATTTTGTCATTCTCTTTACTCGTACTATTTCTAATTGTTATGTTTACCTAATACTTGACTTTTTGTTTATGTGACATTGAGTGCTGGGTAATTTGTCGCCTGTCTAAAACTTAGGATACCAAAAAGCTTCCATCTCTGATACATATTTGCTCTCGTTCGGTTTATTTCGGACGGTTAAGATGTTGGCTCTAATAAAATTTTCTGCTCTTGTGTGAATTTTAAATATTTACAAGCTTTTGATTCTAAAGTTCCTACTCAACTTGAGGAATTGACTGAAGGCGGGTGGAGGCATGTTCCAACATATGAGAGAACTGTTCTTCACATATGTCCCTAGGCCTAGAAATGTATACTTCTGAACATGTATCAATTGGCCTTCAACGAGATATCGTGGATTTATAGAAGCAGACAAAGCAGATATGTCATAATGTAACGGTTTGCGTTTCAGCTTAGAGATCACTGTGTCACAAGATATACTTGAAGAGGTCGCACGAAAGGAAGAAAAACTATGCAGTAAACTCCTCTGAAACATTCTGTGCATTTTATAAATACTGTTCATAATCAAGATATTGTTATTATTCATTTTCCATAGCTAATTTATTTGCACTTAACATCCAGCAGTTTTTGCCTAGACATGTATGAATCCCAGAACTATCGACAAATTTTGTTCTTCTACTTTAGGTGCCGTTCAGTTGCTTCAGTCTTCTTCACTACCTCCATCTGCCACAAAAACTGTAGAATATTCTTCTACAAATCAGACAGTTAGTGAAGGTGAACAAATCACATTACACTGTGTACCAGATTCGAATACAAACTTTTTAATTTGGTATTTTACACCAATGATTCGATTGACGAATACCTCATATGAAATAAACAACATGTCTTCCACATTCACTTCAATGGATCTCCATGGTGGTAATTTATCAATAGCAAATGGCACGAATGATGATGAAACTATTGAACTTGCAGTGTGTAAACCTCAAGTTACATGCAAGTGAGTTGCTTTTTTTATAAATGATATTTTTTGTATGGTTTCTGAACAGCATGGTTTATCTGCCAAGACATTCAGGGAAACCAAATACCTGATTTCTGGACAAATAGAACTTTTTCAAAAGTGATAAGAAGACGTTCAAGTTGAATAAGTGATGAATGTTATTCTCACAGCGTCGATAGTTCAAAACTATACTAAATTAAAAATTCAGTCGTGGATTAGGTGAAATAACTCCTAGTTTGGGGATCATCGGCTGTCCCGGGTTCGAATCCCAGTGGGTGCGTACTGCCGATGATTCCCAAACTAGGATGAAACAGCAGCCGTCCAGTACTCCCTGGTTTTCAATGGTTCTCTAACTGATGTCAATCCGTGATCAACCCGTAAAACATAACTAATCCTTACAAACCAAACTAAAGAAATAATTCCTGCCACAGAAATATGCGTCTTGACTAAAATATATACGGAAACGAAACGAATTAAAGTTTCAAAACTGAAGATGAATAAAATGAAGTAAGAATTCGAATGTTTCGAAATAATTTGAAGAAAACTAGGAATAGACTTGGTGTATGGAATGAATGATTGTATTACAACATCAGGTTACTGTATTTCATATAATTTTAATGCCCTGAATTCAAATATTTCAGCCTGAAAGCAGGAAATAGATCAATGTCTTCCTCTGTAATGCTTGCTAGGGCTTTAGCATGTGACATTCAGTCCAATACTATACATCAACTACATGAAAAGACTTTCTGATTGATAGAATCTGTGGTAACGTTCAAAATTAGTAACCTATACCAAATATACATAAGTTTCTCTGGTATAAATTATGCATTCTCCAGTAAATGTAACTGACGAAACACAATTGAAAACTATGATTGGACACTAGTCAGTAGTGTGACGTGTCTAGTCCTTTCTTTGGTGCAGACTGAATTCAATCATTCAGGTTTGCAATGTGGCCACCATTCTAGATGGCTCGCCATCACGGTTCACAACGATTTGATGATATTAGATAGTTGGAGGCAATCGGCAAAAGAAAGTCTTGGACCTAGGTTTCGTGGTAGTTGGCACTTGTCAGCAAGGCGTATCTGCAAACTTGAAGGAACTCATGTCCCTTCAGAGATTCCAACCCGCGTCACCCGGTTCTGCAGTCAGAGACGATACCACTGATCTATTCAGGCTCGCGATTGACCTCATCAAATCAATGTACAATTATAAATTACCTGAGAACCTGAATAAGGCGTGAATAAGGCGCGAGATTGTATTATTTGATAGTTTCTCCACAATAGCTTTACAACTAGCTTGGTTCACAATAATAAAATGAAATGCTTGACAATAGCTCAGTTATGCAAAAAAACAGTGCATTCTAATGACCAATTATATTAAAATAGGTCAATTAGTCCATGATAGGGTACATTGATTGAAGTCTATTGTTTTTTACTCACATAGTTTAGGATCTATATGATTAATCCAAAGTGCTTTCATCACCTTTAATAACCAACCTTGAATTAGAGTTATGTGGTGAAATAATTGTGAAGCAGTCACTAATAAGTGCTTTGAGATGGATGATGATAATGGATTGATTGCATTGAGATTTTCTGTGTGTCCTTATAACCATTTTGGAACATGTTTTTTCCGACGACATTGGAACATTCTATTGATTATACCTATATATGTGTCACTGCAACTGAAGGTGATAATAAGGATTAAGAACTGAGACAAAGAAGATGTGTAAATTTTAAAACGGCGATATGCAGATTATAGGAAAAGGCTGGTAATAACAAAGTTAGCGGGATTATTCATATAAGCGTCAATATCGTAAATAGACAGTTAACAGAGTACTTATTCCACTACACTACGTTCCAGGGGTTTTCTTCTTATAATTATTGTTCCCTTTGGTTCCTAGTGGAACATAGGGCTTCAACTCCACGTCTCCACTTGCCACTTCTGTCTTCGTTCTGCTGTACTTTTCACCTATATACATGTTAGTCCATACTGTTTCAACGACTCTTCAAACGATCTCCTCCATGTCACTTTTGGACGTCCCACTCGCCGCTTCCCTTTCGGGTTCCCCTCGAGCAATGGCCTGACGCGCGATGTCACCCAGTGGTCTCCTCAGCAAGTGTCCCATCCATCTGTTCACTCGCTCCTGCATATTTGTTGGGCGATTGGTTCTTGCTTTGTTTGTTCCCACAGTTTCTTGTTGGTGGTGATTCTTTCCGGCCCGGCCGTATGATCTTCAATATAGATTCAGCGAAGACAGTTGTTGATAAAGGTGTGCAACAAGCTGTTGGAAATATTTTTGTGACCCGCCCGCCAAGTTTCTGATCCGTATAGAAGAACTGACTGACTTGACGTTTGTATTGAAAATCCAACCGAATTTTGTTGTTGATGCTGGGTGAGCTGATATTTCCAGATTGATTTCAGGTTGATGAGTGAATGTGTTTCTCGCCTTTCCGATTCTCGGTTTGACATCCTCGTCCGTTCCGACTGCCTGTAGTTGGTGATGGTGATATTTCGGAATCTGCATGAAATTTTCAATAAAATTCTGAACTACATGCCTACTGAAACACACAAATTTCTGACTACAAAAGCAGCAATTTTCAAAATACGTTTCTGATGTGTTTTTTCATGTATTGGTTTCTTATGTGAATTTATTATATTTTTTACCTCAAGTTCCCAGTGGAACATAGGGCTTCAAGCGTCTAGCTTAAAGTTTCTATAGCAGTGCTTAATTTTACAGGATGGGGTTGCTAGCTCCATGCACAACCTTTCCTCTTTACCGGCATTCTATCTGGCATACTGAGATAAAGGAGTGCGTTGGCGGCTGGGGATCGAACCCCAGACTATGTGCATGGTCGGCAAGCGTCTTAACCGCTCTGCCACCGACGCCTATTTCTTATATTGCACCATTTCAATAAAAGATGTCAAAGATCTCGTGCTTCGTGTTTCTGGAAATAAACTCATCGGCTTGTGTGAATCAGTTTTATACAACTGTGTCAGTATACTTACTTACCTACCCAAGCTCCTAACACTGAGAGTTTAAATAGATTCCTCTTTCTGCATATTTCTATTTGACAAGCTTTTACAGCAGCAAAAGATGTCAAGTACCCATAAAAAACCTAAAACAAAGGTCCCACTGAATCACTGGCCAGTAAGCCTCTGAAATTGGTTAGGCTGAAGCAACAGCATGTATGAAAATGAATCAAGGTCACACTTAATGACATTTAAATAAAATGACCATTTTTTTTTATTTTAAGTAGTCATCCAGACAACATCATATTCTAACAGCTTTTGGAACGAAGTTCAAAAATGTCTACTTATTAAAATCCAATAAAGTGTTCATTTGTCCGAAGAAGTCAATTTTCCTGTCAGATATACAACAATTTATAGAATCTTCAATCAAGACAGACATTCGACTATATCTGATTAATATGACAAGTAACATGATATTTAATGTTAATCTCTGCCCTCGGCTCTTTTTTCTCTGCTAAAAGACATTTCATCATTCATGTAATATCATATGTCATGTAAAAACTGCCTTGTCTGTCTTTTTCAACACAAAAAACTATCCAGACGACATGATACTTTTTTTCTAGTCGTAGTAAAAAAGACTCCTTCTTTGGCAAAATCAATAACTGTCGTCTCATCCTCTAATGACAACAAGTCAATCTTGCTTTAAGCACTTTTTTAGTGTCCTACATTTTTGTTTAAACGGCATCTTCATAATTATGTCTGACAGTTAGAGATATTTAATCATGCAAAGTGGGCAAAAGAAAATGAATATAATTGTAGTTCTTATTTTAAATATTCTTCCACGTAGAAGGAAATTCATGCGATTAATTTGAAGGTCATCTTTTCTACGTTACGTAATATACTCGAAATATTTCGATACAATTGCTTCATGCAACTCAGGTGAAGTTAGGTGACCGATTATCTATTATTATATTATTATTTCCTTTAATTCCCAAGGGAAACATAGGGCTTCAGCAGCCCGTCTACATTGCGTTCGGTTTTCTGCCCACGTTTTCACCTCGCTTCAAGTCTGCCCACACTCTCTCATCTCCTCTTCACATGACCTCCCCCATGTCACCCTTCCAATGACGACCAACTCCCCGCTTCCCTTTCGGGTTTCACTCGAGCGATGGCTTGTCCAGGGATGTCACTTGATGGTTTCCTCAGAGTATGACCAATCCATCTCCATTTTTTCCTGCCTGTTTGTTTCACAATCGGTTCCTGCTGGGTTGGTTCGCTCCCAGAGATCCCTGTTGCTGATCTTTTCTGGCCGGCCATTTGGTCTTGAGTAATATTGAGCGAAGACAGCTGTTGATTAAGGTATGTAGTTTGACTGAGGTGCTCTTCATCACGCGCCAAGTCTCTGATCTGTATAGTAGCAATGACTTCACAATGGAGTTGAAAATCCGGATCTTATTTTTCATGCTGAGTATGGAGGGCTATTGACCTCAACAGAGACTTAAGAATAATGAAAGCTTGTCTTGCTTTCCCGATTCTCACTTTGGTATCCTAGTCAGTTCCGTCGACCTGCAGTTGAAACTATGGTTCCCAGTCAGGTGGGTAGGTGTAAGTGGTTGTTTCTTTGAGGCTTCTCCCATTTGTGATAACTGATTGTTGTCTGTTGTTGTTGTTGTTGCTGTTGGTGTTGCCCAGGAATCTTCATCACCACATCTGTTTCTCGATGTTCACCTGAAGACCTATGTTTGATGTTTCTTCCTCCAACTTGTTGCTTTTCACTTGCATACCTTCCAGTTTGTGGGAAATCAGACATTTATCATGGGCGAAGTCCAGATGCTCCAAGTTTTTGTGTGAGTCCATTTTATACCTGTTTCCTCATTGCACGCTCTGTGTCTATCGCATTATCCAATCTACTGCAATCAGGAAGATCATTGGGGATAGTAGACAGCCTTGCCTCACTTCCGTCCTCACTTCGAACGCTTCCGTAAGTTTCCCGTTGTGGATTAGTTGGCATGCAGCATTGTCGTACAACT